TAATGATTCATGTAAGTTTTATTTGTTTGGTGAAACATACAAATAAAGAATTTGCTAAAAGTCTTGGTTTTTTGGTAGTAATTTTCAAGCTTCTTTTAACTTGTTAGATTTATTAAAGTTGGATCCATTTAGTCAATTTGGTTCACTAAGATTTGTTAGTCTTAATATAAAAAAAAAATCTTTTTCGAAGAAACACGTGATATTATTATAATCGAAAAACACATGATCTTATTGTAATTGAAAACACATGATTTTATTATAATCACGTGATATGTGTTCACACACACTGTGTACAAATAGAAATCGTCTTTAAATAATTATTATTTAATAATTTAATAATAATATTTATAATATATTATAAGCATAAATAAAACTTACATGAGATTTAAAATTTTTATTAATTGCTACATCAAGTGATTACAACTTAGATGTCAATCCACCAGGAATTACAGCTATATTGGTTTCTTTTTCTTTAAGTTTTTGTTTAATAGAATCAACTAAGTGTTTATAAAAAAAATCTAAAACAAGAAGTGATCTAGGATTTGATGATAAATCAATGATTCTTTTAGATCAGATATTTTCTACTCACTAGTTCATTTCATTCTCATTAACCTATCCTTTTTCATTTATTCTAACAAATATGCCATCTGAAAAAGTTTCTTGAAGTATGTTTTTTAATTTGAAAATAACAATAGGTAATAATTTTAATCTATTAGCTATACAACCTAAAATAACTGTAAAGGTACTTCTTTCATGATTTGTAGTTTTAATATTAATAGAACTAGAACCATGTTTTCTAAGGTATATGAATTAGGTAAATCAAAAGCTACAGATGTTTCATCCATGTTTCCAATAAATTTTAGTGAATAATCATGCTGTATTCTTTTATATAAAACAAAACTTAAAAAACTTTGCTGCTTTTCAAGTAAATCTTCTGATAAATGTTAAGATATTGTTATTCTTTGTATATTTGAAAGATTATGATGAACCATAAAACAATCTATCCATTTGCTTAAAAATTTAAAGGAAAAAATATTTGGATATTTTTCTTGGTAATTATCAGTTTGTGTAAGTTCTTTAGCCTTTTTTATTGCCATATTTCTAATAATTAGCAAACTTTGTGCGTGACAATCTAAAATTCACTTTGCTAACTCTTGCTTTAAATTTGAAAAAAATGGCTGTCTATCACTATACAACTTTAATAAATAAGGTGCCGAAGCTTTAAGTTGATCTTTTTACATCTCCAATCATGAATCTGACTTAGTTGTAAGCCAAAATAACTTGCAATTATATAAACACTACCAGACTGATTCAAAAAATGTAAAACTATTAGCTTTTCACGAACACACCATTGTCGTTTTTTTAAGAGTTATTCTAGAACGAGAAGTTCTTTTATTTCCTTTAACAACTATTATTAGGAGGTCTAACTATAAATGCCAAGCAATATAAAGTAGAATGCGTTACAATTTTTTATTTTATACTGTGATCAATATGGCGTATTTGATCCATACAAGATATCCCTCTCTATACAAAATACTCCTGATTAAATTACCCGAGTATTTTGCAAATATAGAGTAAATTTGTAAAAAAACCTGAGGTAGTTTAGTCAGTACTTTACAGTAGTTATTTTTTTAACAAATTCATACAAATAAGTATTGTATATTGTATTCAGTTAAAAATTGTATATGTAAAGTTATTTTCAGAAGAATCATTGTGTGTTGCATCTAGAAAAATCATATGCGCATAAATAATGCCAAGTATCATTTCAGTTATTTCTGATACATCATATTATATAGACAAATTTTATTTTCATTATGCTTATATAATAGCTAGTTTATATTAACTATGTATTGTATGCAAAAAATCTCATAGTTTCAATAATAATTTGAGCTGTGAAGTAGTTAGCATTTTCCTAATAAACTTCACATTTTCAATCTGTTCAGATGGTGTATAAGAATCTGGTAATGGCTGATTTTTATAATCGTTTATGATTTCACTAACATGTTGCTACAAATATAAAGTGTAATATAATTTGTAAACAAAACTTTATAAAAAATCAAAATAAAACATTCTGTTTACCTCTATCATTACAAAATGAGAAAATGTTTTACAGGTAAAATGCCAATCAATTAGCAAAATTTCTGGCTAGAATATTTTTGATAATCTGAAAGCATAGTTATCAATCCAAAGTTTTAATATGATAAAATAAAAAGCAATCAGCATTTTTTATAATTTAAATGCAATCAGAAATCCTGCCTATTGATGTTTATTATTTTTATATTGGTATTTATTTTTATTGTAAGCATTATATAAATTTCGGTTGAAGAATATTTGTCAATCTAAATAAAGTAATGCATATAATGTCAAATAAAGTGCATCCAGTTTATCTATTGATGTTTATCATTAATATCGAATTTTTTTACATTAGTATTATTAGTATTTATATATATTTGTAAACTTTATCGATTTGTATATATGCCAGATGGAAATTAATTATGCATAATATTACATGCTGATTTTTACATGTTAAATTTTCTTCCTATTGGAACAACAGCCATATAATTAACTTTCTTTTTTCTGATTTCATATTTACTTGGTATAAATCGGCCTAATATATTATGCACTAGAATGATACAGTTTCTATTAACATCATAAAATTTTTTTGACCAGATTTTCACATTACAGCTTTTAATATCATTTTTTATCTGAAAATGAAATCTCGTCTTGTAATCTTTAGCTGAAATGAACCATTTTACATAAGCCAGTCGATGTATTATCCTCTTTTTCAAATTGATCTTGTGTTTGAAAAAATACAGTACTTATCCTGAATACGTTTATATCAAGCCATTTTCTTGTATAAATTTGGCAAAAATATACAAATTCTTTAAATACTGAGACGTGTTAGCCGATCTGAATATCTCAGCCCCTATTCGAATGCGTCTGAATTGATTTATTTAAGGTTGAACAATGATTGGATTATTTTTGCTTCCTATTGATTCAGCTATAGTAATAAATTCCAGTTCATAAGCATTATTATAGTAATTTACCAAAAGATCATATACATCATAAATTTACTTCAAGCTTTTTCGATGTCATCATCTCACCAGAAAACTTTTCACTACCAGTTATAGTATCCTCAACTTCAATATTATAAATTAACATGAATCTATATAATTCATTATATTGAAAGTCGTCATATAATGCTAAACTTCCTGTTATTAATCAGGATTTTATCAAATCTAATCCTTTAATAAGCCTTGTGTCATTCTGATAAGATATTAAACCATTCAGCTTCCAGTTTCACATGATAATACGTAACAGCTCCAGTTCGATCTAATGGTGAGAATTCAAAAGTGAACCTATTTTTTATTTTTTAAATAAAAATAGTTAACATTGACTCTTAAAATATATTATTTGATAATTAATAAATTACCTAATATTCCATTCATTCGTTCAAATGAATAGCACTAGAATGAATATATAGGATCATAATCCTGGCAGTACTCTGAAATGTGCAAAGATAAATAGATATTTGACATTATTGCTGCTAGCCTATAGCTATCTTCAACTAAGCGAACAACCCTTAATAATTGACTGTATGCTTCGTTTAATTTATCTTCATTGATAATTCATAAAATAAGAAGATAACACGCTTTAACAAAATTGGCTAAAATTTCTCGATCTATTTCATCTAATATATTCCACATTAATGAAATCGCATAAATCATTATGAACGACTTTTATTAGTTCGCTGTAAAGTCAGAAAATCCCTTTCCTATTGATATCTTAAAAGGGATTTTTCCTAAATCAGACGGGACCTTAATATTTTTGGTTTTCTTTTCATTAGTTCTAGATGAGTCTTTGTTATTTTCCCATTGTTAATCCAAAGTTTTTTCATGATTCAATGGGCGATTTTCAAGAACAAGTTGTGCATTAGATTGACAACTAGAAATCTAATTGGATCAAAATAGGGCAAGCGAAGCAACTCCGACCATTGAACATGGGTTTTCTTGACATGTTTTTTTCAATCATCATTTGTTCATTGTAATTTTCAAACTAAAGCATTTTGATGATGCTCTTGTGGATCTTTCGTTTTAAACCAATTGGATATGTCATCAAACCTTCCAAAATTCAGCCTTTGATTTTCCTCATCACCGCTTGCCCTTTTATAACATTTATGGCATCTGACTAAAGCAGAAATATGATCGCATAGTTTTCTTGCAGCTGGGATATCATTAGAGCAGCATATAACTGCTAGTCAGATTTTTTGCCATTTGATAAACTAAAACCTTTTTCCCAAAATTCCAGTAATTCATCTACTATCAGCGCAAGATAATGGTTAATTTTGTGCAACTTTACTTTATGTGGTTTTGGAAGTAAGCTTAATGTTAACCTATTTTCTTTTTTAAATCTTACTTTACGAGACAAATTGCAAATTACACCATAGATTGCTTTGCAACTATATATTGTCAAATCAAACGGTTGGAACTAATCCAAATTAATCATGATTCCTAAATATGAATTAGCTATTTTAGGTGTAAAGAATTTGGATTGGTTCGAGGCATCTAGACTTGACAAAAACTCCTTCCATATTTTGCCATCATAAATATCTGACATAGTGCAAGATATGTTATTCTGATTGGTCTATTTTTTTAAGAGTCATTCAAAATCTGGTCTTTGATACATTGCAGATAGTTGAATTTTCAAAGATATTAATTGATATATCAACTTTGAGCGTCAGATATATCTATTATTTATTGGAATCTTTGTAAGTAATTCTGACACACATTGGATTGCGATAATTTTGTATCAAATGATTGGGAAATTCAATGTATATATATTTAAGTCCTAAATTTTCATTATCATTCAGATTTGATGGAATTATTGATATAGTATCATATAACTTATTACAGTCAGGATATACTGTAAAAGTTTTCGATTCTTTCTTGATGTCTAATAGTTTTTTAGCCATATAAGCAGTAGAAGGAAATTCTTTAAACTGATGTGAATCAACATGTTTTAAAACAAGACTAAAGAAGCCAATCAACGAATTGATTGTAACATCAGAAAGTCTAAACCTTTCTTAATATTTAAAGATTCAAAAAAGAATCTATAAGTTGTTTGCGTCTATATTTATATTATTCTGATTTGAATCAGGATCAATATTAATAGACCTACCAGGTGTCGCAAACATTTTATCATCATAATTCTCATTGTTGATATCATTTGAAGTTGGTTCATTATCAGAACATTTATCATCAGATAAATCAGCTTGTTATTTTGGTTATCCTATTTCTTCATCTAGAATAATAGCAGAAACCTTATTAAATTGATCATATCTTCTACGCTTCTTTTAACAACTACCGGTATATCTTCATTGAATTCTCGATCTTCAATCATTATAACATCATCTTGGACACTTTGATGAGAATCAATTGAGATAAATATGAAACTATTTCTATCTTTTGAATTATAAAGATGGACTGATATTGTTGAATTTTCTTTTTCTTTGCTTTTATTTTCTATTATCAAATTAACAATTGATTCTTTAAGCTGACTCTCTTTTATTTCATGTTTTCTCTTAGTTATTGCATCAACCAATTTACCATTACATAATTTACAATAACAATAAACTTTTAATTGATTTTTTTACTTCTTTTAGGTGTTGGTTTTTCAATTTGTCATCATTTAGTCATTTTAAAATATAAATCAGAAATTAGTAAAATTAGATGTACTAGTTGTATTTATATAAATTTATTAATTAATAATTAATTAATTCTTTAGATTATTTTCATATTAATATTAATATTAATAAAATATTTGAATGATTTTATTTAAATTAAATAAAATTAAATCCAATACAAACTAATTTCATCTGGATAAAAGTAGTATGAATAAACTAAATCACAATAAAATCATCAGTTAACTCTTTTTACAACAAATTTTGATATAACGAATTTTACAATACAACAGATTTTTAGTGTCAAACAGATTTTTAAATATAAAAAAACCCTTAC